TACAAAAATACTGGGAAAGGGGCCTGGAGAGATGGCTCAGCAATTAAGAAAATTGGCCACCCTACCAGAGGACCTGATTTTTATTCCCAGCACCCACATGGAGGCTCACAACCATCTATAACTCCAGGAGATCAAATGCCCTCTTCTGCTCTCCATAAACACTAGGCACACAAGTGGTATACAGAAATCTATGCATGCAAAACTCCCATGCACATCAAATAATATGAAAAAATTGAAAAAAGTTGGTGATGCTGATATATTTAACATGGCCACAATTCTTTGGCATTCTTCCCAGTTCTATAGCAATTTGACCAGTTGAACATGACCCAAGTGAGGTCCAGGCCTTAAAAAGCTTGCGCTTTCTTTCTCTTGGGACCTCTATTCTGGCAATGAGGTAGCTAGGATGTGAGAAACACTAAGGCCCCAAACTGAGCAGGAAGTAAAGGCCTGCTGCTCAACAAACCCCAACCAAAGCTCCCTATCTGACCGAACTCCCTCTCTTTTGAGACAGGATCTTGTTATATATCCCAGACTGGCCCAAAACTCACAATCCTGTTGTTCCCACCTGGCTGGTGTTGGGATTATGGATGTGAGCTACCACATCTGGCTTCTACCCTCTTACAAAGCACATCATCTGGTTCCAGTAGAGTCATACCAGCTGTGATCACATGGGACAAAGATGAATCAACCCATATGACCAAGATGTAAATTGAGCAAAATAAGGGAAAATAAGTGTTATCATTTGAAGCTGCTGAGTTGTGAAGGTATGATTCAGAAATATAACCTCAACAGCTTTACTACTCAACCATTGAAATACAAGTAGCATTCATGTTCTAATGAATCAGCTCTGAATATCTATATCTATCTATCTATCTATCTATCTATCTATCTATCTATCTATCTATCTATCTATCTATGTAGCTGAAAGTTTTCCTGTGTCCCACCTGGCCTGAGGTCAGGACAAATCTCTTTCACCCACCAGTCCCCCAGCCACTCAGACCCAAATAAACATACATAGGCTAATATTATTTTTAAACTATGGCCACCGAAGGCTTCTTGTAATCTAGTTCTTATATCTTAAATTAACCCATTTCTATAAATCTATATTTTGCCACGTGGCTTGTGCCTTACCGGTACCTTTACATCTTGCTTCTTCTGGCAGCAGCTGGCAGTGTCTCCCCCGCTCTGCCTTTCTCCTTCCTCCTATCTGTTTGGATTTTCCGCCTGGCTCTAAGCTACTTTACCATAGGCCAAACGGCTTTATTTATCAACCAATCAGAGCAACATATTTTTACAACATAACAGAAAGACATTCCCCCATCACATATTGTTTTTCAAGACAGGGTTCCTCTCTGTAGCCTTGGCTGTCCTGGAACTCACTTTGTAGACCAGGCTGGCCTGGAACTCACAGGGATCTTCCTGCCTCTGCCTCCCAAGTTCTGGGATTAAAGGCATATGCCATCACTGCCTTACTCTGAATATTTTTCTTGAATGTAGTTTTTTTCTACTTCTTAAAGCTTAATTACAATAACACTTAGGAATAAAATGCTTATCTTTCACTTGTTAAACATGCAAAATTTACAATACTACAAACTTCATATACAGTTTTAGTAGCCTCTTAGTCCATTATGCATGTGTAACATCTACTTAATCACTCACCTGTTACTGCAAATATAGATTGTTTTTAAACTGGCTATTCTAACAATGCTGACTTGAATGATTCCATGCCTTAAGTGTTTCATGATGCTACAATTATTTTGTTAGAAACTGATACTAAAAAAGTGGAATCATGGAGGCTCAAGAAGAATACCTCATCTTTGCTAAACACAAGCATTATACTCTAAGTGCTTTGCCGGTGAATGCCCAACTAGCGAGAAAGAACATGGTTCTGGGCAATTCTGCTAGCACAGTGCATTGGATAGTGGTCCTTCTGGAATCCACGTCCACCCAGAACCTTAGAATATGAGTTTATTTGGAAGAGTCTTTGCAGATATTAAATTAAGATGAGATCATACTAGATTAAGGAAGGTCTGCAATCCAATGGCTAGTGTCCATATAAAAACAGACGGAGCCACGTACACAGAAAATGACCCTGGGGAAACAAAGGAAATTATGATGTAGCTATAAGTCAAGGAATGCCAAAAGTTGTGGCAACCACAAGTTAGGAGGAGTCAAAGAGGCAAGGAAGTATTCCTCCCTGGAGCTGTAAGAGTAAGTATTTCCCTTCCCACACCTTGATTTCTGATTGCTGGCCTCCAGAGCTATGAGAGAATAAACTCTGAGGGAATTTCTGCTGTTTTAAGCCATTCCATCTGTGGTACGTTTTAAAGCAAGTTCTAGAAAACAAGTACACTTAGCAACAAGATGTGAGGAAATGCTTGGATCCAGATGAGGCTGCACAAGGTTTGTGTCGTGTCCCTTCACTAAAGACTCAGAAAATAATGAATGAGTAAAGCCACAAAAGATGTTGAGTGTCCGATGTCAGAATTCTCTCCAGTATCCTTTAGTGTGGATTTGGATACTAATTGCCCCAATCCATTAAATTTTGAAGCAATTTGTTATATAGCAACAAACAACTAGTACAATTTAGAATTTGGGCGATTGTTCTTATATTTTGAATAGCTGGCCCCCAGTTTGGTGCTTCTTTCTCGGTCTTCTGAGGTGATGCACTAAGAATTTTTCTTATGGCAATGTAATCTGATTACTTGATCTCACTTCTGGACTGTTTGCTCTATAGAGTAGGATAACTGACATGACTTGGGTTAGCCTGGAGATTATATCTCAAGGAGACAATGGTATTTTTTTTCCCTTTCTATTCTTTGAAGGCAGCAAAGTTGCTGTCTCCTTCCCTGTCCACTCCCCACCTCACACAAACCCCACTAGTTTACTGGGTAGTGGTTACCCATGCTACTATAGCTTTTCAAATTGTTGTGTCCTTGGGACATGCACAGATAATGTGTAGTTTCCTAATTCCAAGTATCCTTGGGCCTATGAGCAAATCTTTGCGGCTGAATAACCAATGATGGTTTTACTGTTTATAATTCACTTTGAAGTGTGAGTGGCTGACAACTACTGGACTTTTTCCTCATAGTTGCCTGACAGAGTGGTCCTGACCAGATATCCGGTGCCTCTCCTCAGATCTCTGCTGTTCATCAGCCACAGTGAAAGATAAACATATGATGGAATTCTATTTATTACATTAATCAGGGTGTCTTAAGTAGCATGGTTGGTATCTTAGAATTCACATGAAATATGAAGTCATGAGTTTGGGACTTATGCTCATTTGCTATGTCATGATTGTGTGAGTATATTAAAGACATAAACTATGATCCTTTTGATTGTTGGTAGAATGGGCACAGTATTAGCCATCTAGTCAACATCCAGAATGATTTTTTTTAATTTAATTTTGGAGACTAGAGAGATGGCTCAACTGTTAAAAGCACTAGCTATTCTTCCAGCGGACCCAGGTTTAATTCCCAGCCCCAACATGGTGGCTCACTGCCATCTGTATCTCCAGTTCTAAGGGATTTGATGCACTCTTCTGGTTTCACAGGTACCAGACATTAACATGTGCACAGATATGCATCCAGGCAAAACACACACACACACACACACACACACACACACACACACGACGATGATGACGACAACGATGATGACGATGATTGATAATGTGTATGCACCTATGCCTGTGGGGTGGCATGCATGAAGATGAATGCAAGTGTCCATGGAAACCAAAATCATTGGACTCCTTGGAGCTGGTGTTAGAGGGAGTTGTGAGCTGTTTCATGTGGGTACTGGAAACAAACTCAGGTCCTTTGCAAGAGCAGTACATGTTCTTAGCCCCTGATCCATCTCTCTAGCACCCAGAAGAATGTTTTATGGCTTAATTAAAAGAGAAGGAGAAGGGAAGAGGGAAAAGGAGAGGCAGAGATATTGTCAAACTATGAAATACTAATAGGGTTTTGGCCTTTTAGGGTTTATAGATTGTTAATATCTCAGTGAATGTGTATGAAAATCCTATTCTTGGATAACGGTCCAAGTCTATATCAGCCCCATAATCAAGAGTTGTTGTGGTAGCCAAGAGGATGCTCTGTTACCAGGGAAATTTTGATTGTGCATGTTTGAGAAGTTACCATTCAATGTGAAAGTTATTCAGGATTTGGCTAAAGTTGTCTTGGGTGAGGCTCTGGTCTGGTTGACTCAGCTTCTCCTGGAGCCAACTGGGACCCTGACTTAGTGCTTATCAGCCTCACTGTTGGCCATGCTCAACACAAGGGACCTCGTGATGCTGGCTGTGACAACATCTGAAACCTTTCCAAATTTAGAATAATGGGAAAGTTGTCTTCTGTATTTCTCATAGGCTCTTTTGATATTGACTCTCTCTTTCTGCCCTTGCCCCCCCATCATAAACAAGTATTGTGCTCATTTCATGGGGAGCTGTTTGGTCCCTTTGACTCTACTGCCTCCTGTTTATGAAAAATAGCCAGTTAACCATGACAAATGGCCAGCAGCAGTCTTGCCTCTAAAGCACAGAGACTTTTTTCTTCCCCGATTTTGCTTTCAAAATAAGAAATCTGGCTTTCTTTGGTGGGGGGAATCTTATCATTCAGAGGAACACAGAGTAAAGCTTTGGAAGAAACAGACCTGGGTTCACCTCCGAGGATGAACAAGTTATATGATCTCTGTGACTCTTCAGTGACTCTGAGGAGTGCTACAAGGATCACAACTTGAAATCACTTTGAAAGTGAAAAAAAAAAAAAACATCTTAAGTCCTATGTCTCTTTTCAGAGAGACTCTACCAAGAGGAATACAAAGGCTTTTTCCCATCCTGAGATTCTAATTCAGTATTTTTTTTAATTCAAGATAAAGCCCTATGTGTATGATCTGAAATAAGAAGACACAACAAAAAGTTACAGATCTACCTGTTTGTTTCAGAAGTCTGTAGTCCTTTTGGAATCTCCAGCACCCCACTCTCACAGCCAAGGATCCTCCTAGGAAGTAGAGGCTAGCCTCTGGGTCATGCCCTGAGCCCTTCTCCTGTTGATCTGTCATATTCTTTCTTCTACTCAGATCTCAGACTGGCTGTCAATCAAGAGAGTTACATATGATGGCACTCCTTTGTCTGACAGTGACGCCTAGTGCATCTACTTCAGGGCCAGATGTGAAAATCTTACCTTGCTGAAACTGCAATTCCTTGGCTCTTCCAAGATTTGGGTCATTATAAACAACAGTAAGCATTACTATTTTAATTTATATGAAGTCATATTTCCATTTTGTCCTTTATACAGCACCCCAGAAGTGTAAACAAAATGACAGGATACAACAACAAAACATAGAATCTTTTATTTCTGAGATCTGACAGACAGACGCTTGCCTTTGACTCAGTGCATCCTGGACTTTGCATCATAGCCTGTGTCTGGCAAAGCAGACACATGTCAAGCAGATTGTATTTACCTGTAAGAACAATGTTATAACTGGGAGGCTTAGAAGGCCAAGGACTGGGTACCCCATAAGTCATTGTTATGACCGACCATGTGTCATGAAACCCAGTAAAGGCAGCAGAAGGCCTCTAGAGTGATGTGCATAATCTATAATCAGAAAGATGAGTGGCCCTGGAGGGAATATTAGAACCTCCACTCCAAGCCCTGTGTTCTAAAGACCAGAAATATGAGGCCCTGGGGGTTCAGCCACTGGTGCCAGGATATATACTATTAGCCAATAGTCGTTACCCAGTGCTCTTTTAGCTCTGCCATATTTGGATCCATGTTCTATAATCACACACTGGAATGATAGAGGCCTATGCTGGGATATCAGCTCTGTCATGTATTGTGAGCTGAGTCAAGTTATTTCACTTCTGTGAGCCTCAGTGTCCATATTATGGGCTGAATTGTACCATCTGCAAATTTATGTGAATCTCTAATCCCAGTACCTAAGATTGTAATTATTCTATCTCTATTATTAGAGATAAAACCTTGCTTGTGTTTTGATCTTGAGAGTCCTTCAAAGCCCTATGTATAGAAAGTTTGGTTCCCATGGTAGTACCATTGGGAAGTATCTACCTCCAGGTAATTGGGAGCATGCCTTCCAAAGAAACTGTGGGACAGACCCCAGCCCACCCCTCACTCTTTTTGGCCTCTTGACTTTGAGGTAAGCAGCTTTGTTCTACCATAGCACCCTTGCCACATTGTGCTGTCTCACTATGGGCCCCACATAATGAGGCCAAATCAATCATAGTTTAAGCCTCCTTACTGTGAGTCGATATAAACCTTCTTCCTGTATTGACTATTTCACAGGTATTTTAGTATAAAGATAGAAAACTGACTAATACAGAGGCCTTTTAAGGTAGTGGTTAAGGATAGACAAAGCAACCCTTAACAAGAACACAGTGGAGGTATTATAATGCCTGACTTCAAACTATATAAAGAGCATAGTGATGGAGGCAGCTTGGTACTGGCACAAAAATAGACATGTGGACCAGTGGAACAGAAGGAAGGACACAGAGATAAGTCCACACAGTGATGGTCACCTATTTTTTTTTTCAAAAGTATCAACAACAAACACTGGAAAAGAAAGGGAATCTAATCAACAAATACTCCTGGAAAAACTGGTATCTACCTGTAGATGAGTGAAAGGAAGTCCATCTTTCTCACCCTGCATGAAAATCAATTCAAAGTGGATCAAAGACCTTAATTTAAAATCTGAAATGCTCAAACTGATAGAGGAAAGCATAGAGAATATGCTTGCAGTTATAGAAATAGACAAAGCCTTTCTGAGTAGCACTCCAGTAGGAAATAGACCCAAGAGTTGACAAACGGTACCAAAAGAGATTAAATTTTTCTTTACAGCAAGTGGAACTATCAGCAGAGTAAATATACAGCCTACAGAATGGGAGGAAATTGATGCCAGCTATACATCAGACAAAGGATTAATATTTAGAATGAGGTTAAAAATTAAATAGCAAAAAACCCCATATCTGCCAATCAACAAATGGACTGACAAAAATGAACAGACAGTTCTCAAAAGCAGAAACACAAGTAGCCAATAAATGGTGTAAAATGTGTCCAATGTCTTTAGCCATCAGAGAAATGGAAATTAAAACTACTTAGATATTCCATCTAACCCCAACTGTAGGGCTATCATTAAGATAAGAGACAATAACACACTCTGCTGAGGATGTAGGGAAAGGAATCTCTAATCATTGCTGCTGACAGTGCAGCCTAGTACAACCACTATGGAAATCAGTAGGTTTCTCAAAAAACGTAAAAACAGAACCACCATATGACCCAGCTATACTCCTGTGATACAGCTTCATAGCTACCAAAAATCCCTTGATAGCCACCTGCACATCCATGCTTGTTGCTGCATTATGCACAACAGCAAGAAAAATGGAAGCAGTCAAGATGTCCATCACAGAAGAATAGACGATAAAAAATGCGATGTAGATACACAGTGGAATTTTTTTTTCAGCTGCAAAGAATATTGAAATGAAATTTGCAGGAAAATAGATGAGTCTGAAAAGCAGGTAACTCAGACTCAGAAAGATGAAAAATCTCATATTCTCTTTCATAAAAGTCCTAGCTCTTTGTACTTATATTGTATACGTGTGGTTGTGCAGGGGTGTAGATTGTGAGACTAGGAAGCAGACCCACAAGTTTGTGAGGGGGAGTGAAGGTGTTGAGGGAAGTAGGGACAGTAGGACACAAGTGACATGAAAACAAAAGGAGACAGTGCTGGTTGGGTGGAAGGGGCACAAGAGTAGAGAGGGTGGAGGGGTTGGGGAGAAGGTGAGAGGGCAGAATCAATAAACACAAAGTGTGCTTGAAAATGCCAGAATTAAAGAATACATGAAGTTAGGAGGGGGTCAGGAGGTGGGGGTAGATCTTGGATGAGTGGGAGGCAGAGTGGAGTCTGAATATGATCAAAATATATTTCATACACATATGAGAGTCTCAAAGTACTAATAAAAATATTATAGAAAAAGAAAAATGCCAGAATGAAACTCAATACTGTGCAGGGTGAATTAAATAAAAAAAAAAAAAGAAACAAAACGGAACAAAATCCACCTTCACACACACACCCCCAACTGATTTGGTGCAATGTGTGGAATAGTATTTTCAGATGTGTTACATTTGTTTATGCGGTGGAACATTTGTCTTCATGATGCAAAGATGTGTTGCATTCTTTTATGTTGCATTTGTTTAACTCTGTGAAGCTGTGTTACTTTGCCTGTCTAAATCACCTGATTGGTCAAATAAAGAGTTGAACGGCCAATAGCAAGGCAGGAGAAAGGATAGGAGGGGCTATAAATAAATTACAGAGAATTTATTTATTATGTTAATAATAATTATTATGTTAATAAATAAATTAGAGAGAATGAATAGAGAAAAAGAGGGATCAGGAAGCAAGAGAGATCAAGGAGTGAGAAAAGAAGGGGCCAGCCACCCCGCCACACAGCCAGCCATGGAGTAAGAGTGAAAGTACGATAATATATACAGAAATAGAGGAAAGTAAAAGCCCAGAGGCAAAAGGTAGATGGGATAATTTAAGAAAAGCTGGGTGGAAATCAGCCAACCTAAGGTCAGGCATTTATAAGTAAGAATGAAGTCTCCATGTGTGATAATTTGGGAGCTGGTGGCAGGCCCCCAAAAGAATAAAGAGTTAAAAAAACAAACAACTACAGTGTAGGAATTGAAAATAGGATTTAACTATATCATAATTAAATGTGAGACAGCAGAGGTCAATGTCAAGAATATCAGTAGAAATCAGATGCTGCCAATCAAACTTTCTGATCGACTTCCATAAACTATGAGGTTGAAGCAGTGGGGATGGAGCTAAAATTCTCCTGCTGGGCTCTATGCTCAGTGGAGCCAAGAAAACAACAGATTCTGATGATACATGTGAGATATCCCCTTAGATTAACAGTGTAAACAAGCTTCCTTAATGACTTGTTTTCACTACTCATTAATGTTTTGGCTCAGCAAATAAAAATTTAGAGTTTCTTAATTATGTTTACTAGTTGTTTTTCAAGTATTTAAGCATATAAATAAAGCTGATTAAAAAAGGAAGGAAGGAAGGAAGGAAGAAAGAAAAAAAGAAGAAAGAAAGGAAGGAAGGAAGGAAGGAAGGAAGGAAGGAAGAAAGAAAGAAAGAGAGAAAGAAACAAAGAAAGTGCCCAGCCCTTGATGCAAGGGGAGGAGCTTGGTCCTGCCTCAACTAGATATACCATGCTTTGTTGACTCCCATGGGAGGCCTACCCCTTTCTGAACAGAGATGGAGGAGGAGTGGATGCAGGGGAGGTAGATAGGATGTGGGGGGAGGGAACAGGAGGAGAGGAGGGAGGAGAAACTATCGTCAGTATGTACAATAAATGAAAAATTTTAATAAAAAGTAATTTTAAAAAAGAAGGGATTAAGTTAAAAGAGATTGTGACAGTGAGTCCTGATCCCTTCTGACTTCAAGGGAGAGGAAATCTGAGGTAGTCTTTCGTGTGTAGTCCTGAAACCCTAGATAGTACTCTGGTGGAGGCAGGAGGCTCTATCTAATCTACAGAGTGAGTTCAAAGCTAGCCTGGGCAACTTAGTGAGACTCTGCCTCAAAATAAAACTATGTATACAAAGGGGCTGAACACAGAGCTCAGTGGCAGGACACTTAGATGATATGAATAAAGCCCCTCCTTCAATCTTCACAATTACTACCCTCCCCTGCAAAAAGTAAATTTGGACCCAAGAAAGGACCACAGAGATGGGCATGTGTGCATGGAGAGGGCATGGGAGGGCACACTGAGGAGGACAGTTACCTCAGAAGACACCAAACCTGCCAACACCTTGATTTGGGACTTCTAGCCAGCTTCTAGAACTGAGACAAAAACATTTCTGTGTTTAAGCTACCCCATGTGTGGCAGTTTGCTACAGTAGCCTTAGCAGACAAATGTAGCCCACTCCCCTAAAACTTGAGATGTGAATACTGAGCTCATGGGGGTTGTTGTCAAGATCAAGTGAGATATTTCATCTTAAACATAGGCCAAGATGGTGAGTAGCAGTGGTTTCATTATGTAAAGGGCCAGTGAGGTAGACCTAAATCACTCAACTGTGACATCAGTTTAGCTTAACTAAAATGAACTTGCCTGTAATTCTGAACTAAATTCCTCATTTTCTCTCAGTTGAGTTTGCCTTCTGTTGGTCTTTGAAAGGCTTATAGAGACAGATGAGGTTGTCTGAGTGTCCTTTGTCTCTTAAATGCAGACCAGAGAAACTGAAATCCATCTCTTTGTTTTATCCTGATAACTTTCTCAGCCATAATTAGTCATATTGGAATCTACTCAGCAGCTGAGATATCTACTTAACATTCGCATTGTTCTTTTAAAAATAGACATTGGTGAATGCAAATTATTCGGAGACCTCTCTGAAGACTCCAGACTCTGCAGGATTCCAAGCAGAGGTCATTCTCCAAGTGTTTGCCTTCGCTGGCTTTTAAACCACCTCCCCACCACCACTATCACTTGAAGCTGCTTTGAACCCATTGAGATAAAATAAACACCCCAGGATCCCCAAGAGCAAAGCATAGAAGCGAGGAAGGGGTGCACTGCCTGGAAGCAGCGGAAAAGAAGACCCAGCAGGTCTCAGTGGTGAGTACTGAAGTGGCCGCCTCCCTGTCCTGTCCCCTGAAGTGACCCTTGTACTTCCTCCGGGATTATTCAGCGTTAGACACAGCAGCAGACCATCTTGGGCTGATTGCTCCAGCTGAGCCGGCATGTGAGCTCTTGAATTAAGTGAATGAAAGGATCTAAACAGTATAAGGCCAAGCTCTGAAATGTTTGTGTAGGATGAGAAGGGGCAGCTGGATCCTCTTCAGTTCACTTCCCTGAGTGTATTGGCAAGACCCAGAATATGAGCCACAGCAGGTGGCATAACATGCCCATTTTGAATTTCGCCCAAACCCCAGAGAACATAATTCATACAGGGCATCTGAGCGTAGGCGAGGTTTCACCTCTGTGCCACCCAGCTTTCTGCAAATCCTGTCTCTTGATCCTGGCCACTCCCCTCAGAGACAGGACAGCACAGAGTTTCTGTTTGGCTTCTAAAGAAACCAAGGCACAGGGACTTACAGGAGACTTAAGGGAGCAGGTGTGGATAAGCTGACCCTGCAATCAAGAGCTTCTGTACCCCCAGAAGGTGGCATTTTATGGATACTGTTCATAAATATCTCAAATATAGGGAATGCCATCTGGTCTCAAGAATGCAGACCAGAGACCCTGCAAAGGTCAAAGTCATGACTGGGGTGTAAGTCATGCACATGGGCAGCGTCTGGGTGGCACATAGCTGTGGTCATAGCTGCATTGCTAGCTTCTCACGCAGCCCTGTGTTGCAGTGGTCATTCTCTGGGAAATGGCAGTTGGACCATTCCCCCTTCTGAAACCCAAAATGCCATCAGTGATACTCTTCTTTATACAGTCCACTCTCATGGCTTGTGGGCTCTTACAAGCTGCTGAAAACAAGGTTGCCTGGAGAGAGGGGTAGAGACAAGCTGTGCATTCAGTCTCCCAGAGTCTCGGCACAGGGAGACGAGCCAATACAAGCAGAACTGTCTTCTGAAGCTTCTGGGTGCACTGGTCATTTGGGATAATGGTTGGAAAGGCCCAGTCCTCAGCCCCATCCCCAGGTACTTAGCTTCAACCAGAGTCCTGGGAGACACTGAAACTGGAGGTCACAGGCACTTCCTCATGAAACCCAGACAAGACAGCATACAGCACTCACATTCTCTCTGCTCCTGAGCCTGAGGAAGTATGAGACATATTTACTCAGGCTCTTTCAAGCACTTGGCAGTGATATGGCTGAGTTGAGAGAGGAGACCCAAGCAGTGCCTTAGCCCCTTGCAATCTCTTGATCTTGGCTTTATGAACAAAGCAGTTCATTCTTCGAATTCATGAGGGCGCTGTATGATAGCAGGCAATACTGGGTAAAATGTGTGCTTCCTTAAAATAACACACTGTTTGATAATGGTGTCTGGCATTCACTTTATCTTTGGATTTTCACTTTACTGTCTCAGGAATGTCACCGTGAATCATTTAGCTCATGAAGAAGCGGAGACCCAACAGAGATGTGTTCTAGAGCCAGCCATGACATCCAGCACCATTCTTGCTGTCTGGAAAAGTGAACTTGAGCCTGGAGACCTTATCTGCAAACTGGCTGTTGGGACTCTATTGCGTGATGATGTCATTGATGACGTTGTGGTGTTGGCTATGGGGATGGGGTCCTCTGGATTCTCACACCGACATTTCCCATTCCTTTGATTTCTTGTGTTCACTAGTCCTAGTCTGGAACACAATGGCTAGTGAAGCAGTATTTCTATTATCATCCTGCTGTCTGTATAAAATGCATGAAGTATGGGCGCCTATTCATACTTGATTGTGGAGTGTGGGGGTTACGTTTAGTATATTACTCCAGGTGGTTACCAAAAATATGTTTTAAATGATCATGAAAAGCTTCAGGCTTTTATGTGACTGCATTCCCTCCTTTAATTGGGCTAGCTCTAACTGAATAGTCTCTTAAAGAAGGTTATCTCCTGTTTGGGATTGATTATACCAGAAGTCAGAAACCTTAGTTCTGGTCCAGCCTCAGACAATAATTTACTGTTACCTTGGCAAATTTACTGATTTACAGTCTCAGTTTTTTCATCTTTAATGTAAGGGATTTTTTTTGTTAATATATACATTAATATGTTTGGAATTTACTACTATTATTTTGCTAAAAATCATAATATTAACCCCAATGACATATTGCTATACCTATAGAGCTGTCCCTCACTCAACCCACATCAGAGAAGCTTCTTCTTGCAGTAGATGGAAACTAACAGAGAGACCCACAACTGGACAGTGTGCATTGAGTGAGAGACTTTGGAGCACTCAGTCCTAACTGGGATGTCTTCACCAAACCCTTTCCCTCAAGGCTCAGCCATCTATATGGTAAGAGCCAGAGGTTGGTGGATGACCTATAGGAAACCACACCCTAGGGCAGGCCCCATGGCCAGGAGTAGTTGGCTGACACAAAACAAATTCCATTGTGTGTGTGTGTGTGTGTGTGTGTGTGTGTGTGTGTGTGTGTGCATGCATGTGCATGCACATGTGCGCACACACACATTTTGTTTCCTTTTGTCTTGTTTGGGAATTTTTTTGTATTATTGGTTTTTTGTTTTGATTTTCATTCTTTGTTTTTGTTTTGAAAGATAGAGAAAGAACATAAATTTAGGAAGGTAGGGAGATGGGAAGGCTCTGGGAAGATTTGGGAGGTGGAAAAAAACATGATCAAAACATACTGTGTGAAAATGATGTTTAAATGATTTCTCCTCATTTTATTATATGTGTGTGGATGTTTTGCCTGCATGTGTATCTGTGCACCGTATACATGCAGTGGCCACAAAAGCCAGAAGAGTCAGATCTCCTGGGACTGGAGTTACAGAGAGTTGTGAGCTTCCATCCGGGTGCTGCCATCCAAACCTGGGTCCTCTGGAAACGCAGTCAGTGCTCTGAACCAGTGAGTCATCATTAATATTTTAAGTTTACTCTTGGAGAATGTCATACAGGCGTATAATGTATGTCAATCATATTTAACTTCCACTCTTCCTAACTTCCTAACTTCCCCCATATCCATCCGTGTCCCCACTCCTTACTTCACAAAACAAAATAGTCCCCTGTGGCCAATTAGTGCTGTCCATATACCCATGGGTATGAGGACTGGGCCATCCACTAGAGCGTGTTCAACCTACAAGGGACCACACACTCAAAGAAAACTGACTCACCCTCCCCCAGCAGCCATCAACTGCCAATAGCTCCTCAGCTAGGGGGAGGGGCTTATATGCCCCTCCCTATTTATGCTAAGTTGTTGATTGGCTTGATCTTGTGTAGGTCTTGTGCAGACAGCCCAAGTCTTCCGCGTTCATGAGAATGATGGTCCTGCCATACACATAAAACACCATTTTGTTCCAGTCCTTCCTAAACCACTGGCTCTTAGAATCTTTCTGCCCCCTTTCCATTACAGCATAAGGTTTCTTACTTTAGACCTTCTGGGTATAACATTCTTCAGTTTAGAGCCGGGCGGTGGTGGCACACGCCTTTAATCCCAGCACTCGGGAGGCAGAGGCAGGCAGATCTCTGTGAGTTCGAGGCCAGCCTGGTCTACAAAGTGAGTTCCCGGAAAGGCGCAAAACGACACAGAGAAACCCTGTCTCAAAAAAACAAAACAAACAAACAAACAAAAAACAATCAACATTCTTCAGTTTAACTCTCTGCAAGCCCCTGAAAATGCCAGGGCTGTACCTCAGATCCATCCTGTGCACAGAAAGACTGGTTCTTGGTGGATCTCTAGAAGCATAGACAAGCAGAAGTCTCACAGTTTGGGAAAACCATGAGAGTAGGGGTTCACTTACATTTTTTTGCCCGCTAGGCTTTTGTCCATTGCCTCTACCTTCTGTTTCTTCAATGCTACTTGAGAGAGGAAGTGAGGGGGTGAGGGGGAGAGGGGGGTAGAGGGAGAGAGGGTGTAGAACCTCTTGCAATCAGAGCAGAGCATGGTAAGTAGGAGACTGATGAAGTGGCATTGAGTGCTTTCATACCCAGTATGTTCAAGAATATGGTGGGCATCTCTAGCAACAGACAGACCACGGGCCTCCCTTATAATTGCCTCATCTTATGGATGTTGCCATTAGTTGGTGAACCTCAGAGAGTGGGCCTTTTTAGGTAACTGTTCCTCCTCCAAGAATGTTGGAAGTACACTGACCAGGACCTGGAGCCCCAGTCATAGGCACTCAAAATCTACCTTCTGAATGAGTGACCTTCTGAATGAGTGAGCGTCCCAGAAGAGTCAGTTGGTAAAAACTAGAGAGGAGTAAACTGTGGGGGACCAGCCACAGTACTCTTGAGTAGGGAGAAGTGGGAAATATTTAGAAAGAAAGATACCTAGGTGACGAGAGGAAAGACAGAAAACAAAGATAGCCTCGGGAGGGCCTGGGTCAAAACACACCAGTCCCTTCTGTCTCTACTAAAGGGCTTTTAAAGGAATGCCAAGGAATGGAGCAAAAGACCTCCCCCCAGCACAGCCAAGTGCAGACTATCCCAATCACCTGGTAATCATGCATGGCACGTGGTCAAGCCATCCCCTAATGTAGCCCTGCTGTGTAAAGCAAGCTCAGATCTCACTAGGAAGCTTTGCTGGGCTCCCACAGTAAACTACTTTCCCTCAGTGTAGCTTCCCAAGTCTGGGCCATGGACTGACTATCAGCACCAAGGGTATATGGCTCCTCTTAATGTCTTGTTCCTTGTCTATCTTCTGTTGGTGCCAGCTTCCTCCTCTGAAGAAGGGTCACTGAGTACCATTTCTGTTTTCTTAGAAATGTATTTGTTCAGCTTTTTTTGTTATGATAAAAATGTATTAAAATTGACCATCTTAACCACTTTTAGGTATATAAACTTCAGTAATGTTGAATACAATCACATCATTGTGATAAAAAAAAAAACCCATGTCCTTTTGTTGTTGTGCTGGGATTGGACAGAGTACCCACATACGCTGAGCAATGATCCACTGAGCCACATCCCCAGGCTGACCAGATTTTTCTAAGTGTGTGTGTGTGTGTGTGTGTGTGTGTGTGTGTGTGTGTGCGCGCGCGCGTGCGTATTCATGTATGTGTGGAGGTCAGATGACAACTTCAAGTGTCACACTTCAGATACCATCCTTTCTCTCACTCCTTTTTCCTCTCTCTCCTCTCAACTCCTCTTCTCTCTCTCTCTCTCTCTCTCTCTCTCTCTCTCTCTCTCTCTCTCTCTCTCTCCCTCCCTCTCCCTCTCCCTCTCCCTCTCCTTTCTCCCTCTCCCTTCCCCATCTCTTTCTCTGTGAAAGGTTCTCTTACTGGCCTAGAACTTGACTAGCTGGCTGACCAGCATGCCTCAGGGACTCACTAGTGCTGACATTATAAGTGACTTTTTACTATGGTTTCTAGAGTTGACATTCAGGTCCTTGTGCTTGCAAAGCTTTACTGACTGGGCATCTCCCTGACTGTTTCTGTTTAAGACAATTCCTGACACCTTAAAAAATACTTAGATTTTTGGAAATCAAATTTTATATAAGAAATGACTCTAGACCTGCTCTGAAAGAAAATCTATTTTCTAAAAAACTTACTAATTGGAGCTATTTGCTTATGCTTAATAAAATATTCAATATTTCTAGTTGAAAGAGGGACTCAGCACAAAGGCCATGTCTACCACGGATGCATTGCCTGAAGTTTTCCATTTGGGACTCATGACATGAAATACTTATAAAGTACACTCATATTTACTGAAGTTCTGTTCAGAGTCAAAGTTGGTTGCAGGACCACATGACACCATTAGGTGCTGCTGTTTGATATGATAGTAGGAAATGACAGAAGCAGTAGACTACTGTCCTCCCTTCATGGTCATTGTGTGTCCTCTGGATAGCAAGCTATGCTAGACTCTGCAGATACAACAATACATAATAATAAAACAACACCTCCAAGTGAGATAAGTCACTGCTGTAGGAGGGGGCCATGCATTCAGAAAAGATCACCAGTTTACAATCTTCTGATCAGATAGGTGTTATAGCATATTATTTTTAAGGTTCATTACTTTTGTTTATGTTGCATTTATTTATCTCTGTGAAGCTGTGTTACTGGGCCTGTCTAAAACACCTGATGGTCTAATAAAGAACTGAATGGCCAATAGCAAGACAGGAGAAAGGATAGGCAGGGTTGGTAGGTAGAGAGAAGATATAGACGGAGAAATCTGGGAGGCAAAAAAGAAGTAGCCAGAGCAGGAGGAGGACCCAGGGGCCAGCCACTCAGCTACACAGCAAGCCACGGAGTAAGAGTAAGATTTACAGAAGTAAGGGAATGGGAAAAGCCCAGAGGCAAAAGGTAGACAGGATAAGTTAAGGAAAGCTGGCAAGAAACAAGCCAAGCTAAGGCCAGACATTTATAATTAAAAATAAGCTGCCCTGTGTGATTTATTTGGGAGCTGGGTGGTGGGCCCCCCCAAAAGAGCAAAAACAAACAACAAATAGGCGAGGCATGAAGTGATCCAAAGTAGGATGCAGGCCATGGCATCGAGAGAAAAGGGGGACTTTGGTAAAGAACTGATGGGTTTGTGCTTCCAAGTTTGGTGTGGGTCCAGGTGGTCTCGATTGCATTTGTCACTGGTGTCATAGTGTCCCTCGGAGTTAATAAAATGGTCTCCTGCAAGCTTGTTTGATTTGGCTTATATGGCATTTTTTGAACATGGGTTATTTGCTAAATTGAAGTACAGACTTTTTAGGTTCTACTGGGAGAACTATGAGCTCTTATCAGTGGTGGGCAGGAGCTGAGTCATGGCCGTCCCCTCATTTCTGTTCTTGCCTGGTCCCTTTGGGCAGAGCTCCTAATAGTGGTGCATGTACTGGCACCAGTGTGCAAACTGTGAAGTTGGTGGAATATTTCTGCTCTGATTGGTAAATAGCTTCCAGAGCTCCCAGGGTGTCCTCCACACTCCAGGCCATTCTTCAAAGGCACCTCTCCACCTATTTCTCCACAATCTGGATATAATAAGAGTCCATCTGGAAGTACAGGGACCCCAGGTCCCCGCTGCTGTGCTAAGTCCAACATTCAATTTATGATTTCCTCATACCTCCCCCTGACCACCCTCACTTTCTAAGCCAGGGTCCCAGTGTGTACTCACTATGTAACCCAGTCTGGCTTCAAACTTGTGACAAACCTCCTGAGTCCTGGGATGACAGGCACAAACCACCATTCCCTGATTAGTCCTTGCCCTGCTTCATAATGGTTGTTAAATATATGGAATATCACCTTTGCCTTTAGGGAATAGATCTGCATGTGAACCTGGGGATTGGACCATTCTTGGCTCATGGAACAATGACGTATAGAGGCCAATAAGCAACCTCAGATAGCTTTGGGGTTCAGGTTGATTTTTTTTCACCCCAATACTTTGCTTATAAAAAGCTTTTATTTTTAAAGGTCTTGATTTTTCAGTAGCATGGTTCTGAATATGGTTGGTCAAACCAGAAAGGATTATGTAAAAATTTATAGCCTAAGGGAGACAGGAAATTTTTTTTTTTTTTTGCAGCTCCAACCCATTAAATTAATGAGATCCCCCCCCCCCCATGGAAAGCCACAAGAGACATATTTAAATTCTTTGTCATCAAAGTCAGGTAGTAGCCATACAGCTAAAACAATAATGGTAGCAATTCATAATAATTCCATGAAATCTACTTGGCCTTTCAAATCCCAGCCCTTTTGCCTTTTTTTTTTTTTTTTTTCACAGACAGTTTCTCAGTGTGTGTGACCCAAGGGCCAACCTTGGGGGCACCTGCTGTTTCTCCTCCAAGAAATTCTGTGCACAGGGACAGTCTTGTTCCATTCTCCTGAGAGGCTAGTGGGCGCTGGGCCGGTGGCTGGCCAGAAACTGGGAGGCCTGAGCGGAGGCCAGGGAGACTGAGCATGTCTTCAGGGTGAGATATTTGATCACACAAGTGAGGGGGGGCTGATTGCCAGTCCTCCCATCTGAAGAAAAATTTCTAGGTGGCAGGAGCTAAGGATAGGGTGGAAGAAAGTGATACACCGAGGAGAGTGGGGTGAGGTGAGGAGAAGAGGCCGGGCCTGGCCAGACTCCACAGGCTGCGGGAAGCCAGCTCGGCCTCTCCCGTGTTTATCTAAAGTGGAACCAAATGTGACTCCGTCACAGTGGGGCTCGGTGAGGACTCTTTCCATGGCTCCACAGTGCTCCCCTCCCACTCAGCAGGATGAACCCATGTCTCACCCATTGGAGGGAAGGTTAAACTCGGGCCTTCCTCATCGGTGGAATGGAGGAGAAGGCAGACCCTTCTGGAAGATTCCTGCCTCCTTGAAGCAGAGACAGTATTCCTTCATTATCTTCCCCCACACGTGAGGCTTTCTTTGTGAATAGAAAGAATCCTAGCTGAGACTTGTCGGGTCCCAGCAACCACGTGAACTATAATACACGATGGCAATGGCCAAGGTACCTTCCATACCTATGGGGTCTAAAGCCCGTCGTTATAACAGCACTGATACCATTGCCATGTTACACAAACCACACAGCTTTGAAGGCTCGAAAGTGTAGCAAGGCCTTGGAGGGCCTGAAGCATCACAAAGAACACGTCATACAGGGAGATAAGAGGGAACCAACACACCCGGTACAATTCTGCTCATTGAACTGACTCACTGAAGAACTCGGGAAATTGTCTGTTGTCCATGTTAAACGGCTCGAACACATGTGACCCTCCAATCCCAGTCTCTCCCATTCTGGAAACATTCAAATATGCTACTTACCCCAGCCCCTGTTGGATTCCAGCCGGGTTTCCCATGCAGTCTGTTGCACTGACTGCGTGGTAGGCCCTCACCTCAAGTCAAGTCCTTGCTGTGGTGCTCAGAGAGACAGCGTCCTGGGACTGCTGGAGAAACTGAGGACTCACTGGCTGTAACGCAGCATAGGGCCATGAAAAAGCCTGGCCTTGTGCTGGCAGAGACTCAGTTTCAATACCTGGCGCCAGATTTAGGGTGGTCAGGGGAGAGTGGAACCACCATTTCAGTCACTAAAATCAGAACATTTGGAAAGAAATTGATATCCATCCTGCCCAAATTAGTGAACCAGAGGAGCCATGGACATGTGGGTGTCTTGTTGCATATCAGATATTTTTTTTTCACGAACTCTATGACCTCTTGGTTCTCTTTCTTTGAGACATGGGAGGAGAAATCTGTAGGTCAGCTGTCCTTTTAATCATACTTGTTTGTCTGGTCTCTGCAAAGGCCTGGTTCAGTGAGTGAGCTGGATGGGCCCCTTTTTTTCAGAGATGAAAGATTGATGACCTATTCAGCAAAAAGACCCACCGCAAGCACCTCATTGGGCTTGTTAGCTGTTATCTTCCACATATCAACTTGGATTAAAAGGACCGCCTGGCCCCCTGACAAGTATTCACTGGCTTCGGTACAGCATGTTATTGTACGGCACTTCCTCAGGAACTATAATTAGGTGATCATGTAAGGAGTTCACAGTGCACGTTTGAATAGCGACTCTATTTGGCTCATGATGTCACTCGCTGTCTCTGGTGCCTTCTCATTATATGGCTTTTGCCATGGTGTGCTGGCGTTGAAAACATGTGAAGTCAGGCCATGGGTTTTCTGTGAGGTAATGACAGCCTTAGGATGAGTCACTTGATATGTACCTGAAATAATGACAGCTTAAGTGTCAGGAGGGTTGGGAACCTCACATTTTAACTACTTGGTCACTTAGCTTTCCAAAGGTTTGTTTGTCTGGAAATTGGGGGTTCTGGTACCAGTAGCCTGGGCTGGATTAGTGTGTTTTCAGTTGCCATAACAGAATTTCCCAAACTTGGTAATTTATTAAGAAAAGAAATCCATTCCCTAAAGTTCTGGAAGCCTAGAAGTCCTATATTAAAATGTTGGCAACTGGCAAAGGCATTTCTCCTGTATCTTTCCATGGCAGAGAGTGAGCATGTGAGAGAGGCTAGGGTCAGGAACCCACTCTGTGATCTTTAGCCTACTGTTCAATAACAAATTCATCCATTTGTGAGGACAGAACTCAGGTGACCCAACTACTCCCAGCGCCATTGCACGGGAATTAAGCTTCTAACATGTAACTCTGGGGGACACAGCCAAACATCACAGTGAAGTCTGGGTGTATTTATTTTCTCCTCTCACATCCATTCATTACCACATTGAACATTGCATCTCTTAAGTACCACTAAGCTCTTCCCACAGTCACACTACTCTGGGCTGAACTTTATATGCCTGCCAGTGACCTAGTCCTTCGACCAGTCTCACAAAACCTACTCTACATCTCTGACAAACCAGACCCTGCCATGGAGACCTTCAGGGGTAGATTGAAACCTTCCATTGACACCTATGTACCTTTACAGGCCAGATTCTTGGTGACCTGTAAATGCAGCTTGATCTGTTCTAGGTTCTGTCTCAACCTTGTCAAACCACTCCTCTCCTCACTGACTGCTGTCCAACCAGATGGGCATCTCCTCAGCAACTCAAGACCATCAAGACCATCAAAGAGTACCAAAGTGCATCAAGAGCATCAAGAGCAGCAATAGTATCAAGAGCATCAAAGAGCAGCAAGAACAGCAAGAGGAGCAACAGCAGCAAGAGTATCAAAGAGCATCTAAGAACATCAAGAGCATCAAGAGCATCAAGAAAAAGCATCAAAGAGCATCGAAGAGCAACATCAAGAGCCCTCCTCTAGCCAAACCCTGCTAATCGGATCATTTTTTGATAACTTCCTTGGGAAATCATAACCACTTCTTAACCACCTCACAAGCAATTCTTCTTCAGAAGTGTGTTACAACTCTGTTGAGACAATTATCTTTAAAACCTGTCTCCTCTCTAGCATTGTTTCCTTTTTTTCTCTCCCCTGAAACAAGGTTTGACTTTAAATTTGCAATCATTTCCTGCCTCAGCCTCCTGGGTGTTAGAATTACAGGGTTGGGCCACCATAACTGGTTTTGATTTTTAGAAGCGTTGCTATGGTAGTGACTTTGTCTGCTCGGAACTTAACTGCCTTATGCTCATCTTCCTCATCATGTGCAGTGGGCTTTTGAATGCGCCTTATCCAGCAGAGAATGAAAGAAAAAAGCAATGTGACCTGCTGTGCCCTCAGGAGGCTATCCCTTCCATCCATCCCTTCATCCAAGGCTGGTCACAGGCCACGAGGCTATCCCAAGCATTAGTGTCCCTCTGCTTGTTGACTCAATCTTCTGTTGCTTTCCTGAAATTGTGGGCTTCATCCACAGCTACTGGAAGATACTCACATAGCATTCAAGATTTAGTTTAGGGTTCTCACCTGTTGTTGGTTGTTGTTGTTGTTGTTTTAATCACATAGAGACTTATTCTTGCTTATGAATGCCCAGCCTTAGCTTGGCTTATTTCTAGCCAGCTTTTCTTAAGTTAAATTATGCAGTCTACCTTTTGCCTCAGGGATTTTACCTTTCTTCATTCTATATGCCTTTCTTTACTGCTTACTCCATAGCTGACTGGGTGGCTGGCTCCTGGCATCCTCCTCTCCTTTTCCTTTTTGTGCTCCTCCTCTTCCCTTTTTCTCCTTCTATTTATTCTCTCTGCCTGGCAGCCCTTCTATTCCCTCTCTTGCCTAGCTAGTGACCATCCAGATCTTTAGTAGACCAATCAGGTGTTTTAGGCAGGCAGAGTAACACAGCTTCACAGAGTTAAAGAA